GATGTAGCTGTCTGGAAAAACCCCTTTGTACATTGCATACATATACTGCCAAGAAACAATCTGGGCAGTTAAATCCGCTAAATGCTGCAGACGCTTTGTGTTCTTCCATCCTTCATTCATGCTTTTTGCACATTTGCTGCTCTGTGGATTCTAATGTCTCGAGTGTATAACGGGCTCGAACAAAAGCAAGAACAAAATAACAAAACCACCTCCAGTATCCACTCATGCCAAGAAGAAAATACAGAACATTAATATTATTTATGCCGTTTAAAAAAAGAAAAAATCATTACGGAGCCTTGAGAGACAGAAATAAGTAGCCTCTACTTATTTCTACTTACACAGTAGGGACTGTGTGTGTGTGTGTGTGTGTGTGTGTGTGTGCATAGCGTAGGCTGTATTTGATGATTGATCGGGCAGCGTACAGTATTGCATTACACTGTACAATATAATAGGCCTACAGGGAGTTGTAAGTTGAAGTTCCTGGATCAATTATTCATTGTCTATTGACTCGGTTCTCCTCCTCCTCCAAGAGAGTGTGTTTATTCGGAGAGCAAACACACATTCCTGCACACACAATCAAAGAGAGAGTAGCCGACGCATCCACGCTGCGTCTGCTTGATTTACTCCTCTGGGAAACGTGTGCGGTGTCACGAAGGGTGACAAGTAAATTGGACGATGTGTTTGTCTCAGAACTGGAGTCAGCTGTTGGATGTATGGCGACAGCTGTGGGAGCAAAGTGAGCTTATTGGGCTGCTTGTTAAACTCTGGGCTCTGCTCGTGTGCGCAGATCAGACGCATTGTGAGGCGGTGGGAAACAAATGAGACGTGATTGAATAAGGGCAGATCGAAAGGAAAGGAAAAGACAAATACAGATGAGAGGAGACGGAAAAGGGAAGATGAAGAACGGAGTCGGCAGCTCGAGGAGCAGAAGCTGAATTAGAGTGAATGGAAAGAATGAAAGGACGAAGACGATGTTTTATTCTCTTTATCTTTCTGTCAACAAATCACTTCCATTGTCTGCTACTTTATACTTCTACTCTACTACACCT